AACCCACCCAAATTTAACCCAACCCGCTCATTTGCCACCACTAGATCTGCCTGAGAACTTTGAAGTTCTCTTCATAAAGATGATAACTTTTGGTTTAGCAACCTTACACTGCAAAGTTCCAAACAAAATTAATCAATTTAATTGTTATAGAGTCGCATGAAATTAATAGATGTTTCATTTTGTTGTTGCAACATGGTGAAAAGACAAAAAAATTTTTTAATGTCAAACTCAGTTAAGAAAGAAAAAACGATATGCAGGGCAGGTTGGTATCTTTGCGGGTTTACCCTGCCCCGCCTCATTGCCATCCCTATCTGCACGGACTAATTAACTTTGTGATTCCATTGTCTTGCAGAAACAGAAGTGGAAGTCTCTCAGAGGAATAGTATATCACTAACTTTACGTATGAGGGCCGCAACTGCTACTGCTATAGGTGCTGCTGCTGCTCATGCCAAATTGTTGGCCAATCAGGAAGAGAGAGAAATAGAATATCTGGTTTCTACTTTGGTTGAAGCACAGGTGAGTTTATGGTTTCGCTTATACTAATGGTGAACTTAGAACAAACTTCAGGGCGAAAGGAAAGAAATTGAACAAGTTTTTCCGAAAAAAGCAAAAATAAATGATAGAAGGGTCAGGAAAAGAACCCAAGAGCTTCCATCATATTTGGAGAAGTGTCAACATTTCTGCCTTGTTATCCTCTGCTTCTGTACATCTTCTCATTTCTAGCTTCCCTCAATATCCTTGGTTGGCTTGGCTTATTTTTCTTTCTACTTTTATGAAGGCGAAGAAGTTGAAACGCAAAATGAAGCATGTTGAAGCTCTGAACCTGATGATGGAGAAGCAGCATGGCCAAATGAAGGATCTAGAAGAGTCTTTAGTTACGGAGAGAATGGACATCTTGCAGAAGATATTTAATTCCGGGGTATCTAGATGGAGGGATCATGCTTCGGTTAAATCTCAAAGCAGCACCAGCAGCATATAACTTGACGTTTCTTGAATTGCATATGCAGTGTTGTTGTTGTAGAGAAAACTCACCATTAGTTAGCTTCTTCAGATATTCTCCTGATGATGATTGTCAGTATGTGCTGGCCTGGTTTATACTTCAGGTGCTTACTTTTGTTGTTCAGTTGAATTCTATGTTGCTCGGACTCTTCAAAAATTTCACGGGTGCGTGTCGGATTCGCCAAAAGTAGTGCATT